TTATAACCCTCCTAACCCCGTGTAAATTATGCGGGTGGAAGAGGGGACTACAGTACCCACATGGTGCTGCGAGCAGTAACTTTCTGCCAATCCAAACAAGACAGAATTGGTTCTTTTCACTCATAAGAAGTCAAGGAAGGGTTACTTTGCTCCAAAGTTGGAGGGAGAAGAACTCTCCCCCAGATATCATATAAAGTACTAGATAACCTATGGCATGCTGAATCGCATCGTGCGGCGCCGCCATATTGGATGGGTCTTTCCTCTTGCTAGGCAGCACCAGAGCGAGTGAATATGCCCTTATTTGGTGCATTAAACTGCACAGTTTTGAAAGCAGACCACAAAGGAATACCTTTTTTAAGACTGAACAATATTTTTGTTTATTTGGCATTTAATATTTTATCATTGTAGAAAATGTTATTTGGCAATCAACAAAATGATAACAGGAGGAACTGGTTCTCTTTATCTCTTCCTGGGCTTTTCCTTCACATTTTGAAGGCCTCCCAGTGACACAGACTTGAGGAGGCATGGAGAAGTTCTAATCAGAACGGAGGGTTTTGTTGCTCATTCAAACTCGTAAGTGAGCACTTCAAGACAGATGACTGACAGGATGGCTCAGATTGTCATTTTTTTGTTCATAAATATCTGTTTTTAAAAGGAAAACATGAATAACCATCTGGTTTTAATTTTTAACTGTCTGTTTTTAAAACAAAAAACTAGAGACCTAAAAGTACACGGACCATTTGGACAACTCCAACATGTCCAGAGAATTGCATGAAAATTGAGTTGACCACAACATCCTTGGCAGAGATAAAAATTAGGACACCCTCAGCTATAGCCTGGCCCTTGGCTTCCTACACAGTTCAGCTCAATTCTAGTTTCCCTTCACTGCTCCGTCTGGGACTTCTCCTATACAATGATTTCTTCAGGAGAATTTTCATGTGGGCCAATCAGAGAACAGAACGTCAAATTTCTGCGCAGTGTCTGCTTGTAGTTTATTTTACTTGGGCCAATCAGCAAACAGAAGGCGGAGTTTTGAACAACGTTGATTTTCTGCGCAGTGTCTCCTAGTTATTTTAGCATACGGCAGTGGAGGAAGTGAATGAAGCCAGTCTGTGTTGATAAGGCTTCCAACTTAAAATAAATTTGTCTGACAAAGCAGCAGCTCTCATTTACAGTCGTCTCATTCGGCTTGGAACTGTTCTCCTCTCAGTAAGTTTGTTTACAGCGCATGCGATTTCCGGTTAGCTTCTTAGCATAGCCTCCTTCACATTGCAGCACGCACTTGCGGCCAACCGATCCAATCATTTTAAACTTCAACAGAGGCCACGCCTCCAGCAAGAATCACTTCTCTATAGCTGAGAGTCCAGACCCTCGTATGAAGCAAAGTGAAGTACAGGGTCTGGTTTTTACCAGGCTACCTCAGCTAGCATAATCTTACAAAACCAGCATTAGGGCTAAGCGCTGAGTACAGGAATGGACTTTACCTCAAATGCTTGTTATTTTGATGGTGAGACTAAAGCAGACTTGGAACGTTTTTGATCCCATCATTTTCTACTCAATTTTACTGACCCAAAGGAGGCTAGTGTCTTTTCTCTCCTGTCTTGTAATCGATTGTCGACTGTTATCTTAGGAAATGCGGTGAACAGAACTATTTAGCCAAGAGATTCTGCCATCTGATTAGATTCAATCAGGTGAGCTGACACTGAGCTGCATTTTAAAGCAAGCCAGCTTTGGCAGCCTTTTGGTTGTGTTCAGCGCAGCACCTTCGCCCTTGAGCAAAAGGTAATCATCCAAATAATGGATTTCCCACGGCATAGAGACTCCAAGTGATCTGAATATCTGGGAGTTATAAAGGCTGTTGTTGTTTTTTTTCTTTTCTCGACATGATCTATTTTGCTCTGCAATCCACCCTTTTACAAAGATTTAAACAGAAGACAAAATAGTAAGCCGGTAAGGAAATTATTTCTGTGCCATTAGCAGTGGGAAATAGGATAACCCTTGAACAAAAGGAAAACTTAAGTGCAATTACAGACATAATTCTCAAAGTCTTCACCTGCGACTTAAAATAAATTCCTCCTGTAGTAAATATTAAACATCCCTTGAAGTCAAAATTAAATTTCAAAGCTTTTTTCACTTCTCTTCATGTTGTTTTTTTGCATAATCATTAAATATACCAAGTTCATTCAACACTGCAGCGAAGTGTTTTTACATCAGATCTGACAGGTAAATAACAAAACTGATTTGTGTGCCACAACCCAAACAACATCTACTACTGGAGCAGGGTGCATTTATTTATTGATGCCAATAAAATCAGTTTTGGGGGATTGTTGCTACACAGGTGGCAGGGTAATTTCTGCGAGTAAATCAAAGTGAAAGTTGCATTTGAATGTTTCTGGCCCGTGACAGTTTAGGTCATCTTATCTCTCACAGGACTCAACCATGGTTGGCACAGGTGTTATGATTACTGTGATTTTTTTTCTTTACAGGTTTAGAAATATGACAATTTTTTTCTTTTTCACCACTGAACCTTGGTAGTTAGAAGACCTTGCTCAAAGGGCCCGGACCTCTGTGCCCTTTCCTAGATCTGCTCTGGTGTGGCGGGTGCCGTGGGGCCCATGAGTTTGTCACTGCTGGCCCCGGGGGCTGTGCGTGTGGTCGCTGGGGGGACTCTCCCAGTTCTCCCCTATGGTCTGATCTGGGGGGTGGGTGGGTGGATCTTCCCGTGCGGGTGCCCCTTGGGGCTCTGYGCTCGGGATYCCTCTCRGGCCCTTGGRCTCTGGTCTTCCCTATGTCTGCCTGGTGTCTTGGGGGTTGGGTCTCCGGTCCTCCACAGTCACTATTAAATATTCCATTGGAGAAATCTTGTATGTACACGCATGTTCACAACTGCTCACAAACAGGTGCTCTGATCTGGGGGGTTCTGACAGGTCACTGAGTGTGTATATATGTCTGTGGGTATATACAGACAATATTTATGAATGTTGGCATGTATGTATGTATATATTTATATATGTATGGGCATGTGTATATATTTTTATATGCCCTCCATGTATTTATCCATTTATTTTTCAGGTGAGTGGACAGATGTTGGGTGTGTGGTCCTGTGTTTTGTTGGTGTATATTTAATATACATCTAATCGCTATTTCAATCTTTCTATCTTTCTAATTACTTCTCTCACTGTTTTTCTCTCTGTCTCTATTTTCTCTTCACTTAAAAAACAAAAAAGTCGCTGATGAAGAAGAAATAAATAAACTAATATTTAGTTTCGTTTTCTACTGGTGACAAAAAAAGACCTTGCTCAATAATGAACACAAAAGAACAAAAATATGAAAGCGGTTCTTAAGTCTCACTTGTTTTTATCACAACAAATCTAATGTTTAAAAGAAAAGGAAAAAACTTCACCTTCCAGCTCGGTGCCAACAGTTCTCCATAAAGTGATGAGCAGTTCCATTCCTTCACCAAACCTTTGAAGTGGTTGTGTCTCAGTGGTTAGGGCAATCCTTCAATATGAGGGTTGAAGGTTTGATTCCACCAGCATGCTGTCAGCTGGAGTAGGCTAGAAATAGATATCATGTTCAGTCCATTTTACATTTCACTCAGTCTTTGAATTGTTTGTTCTACTACCCAGTGAAATTGACCCACTTACTTCACTTCCTGATTTATTTTCTTCTGCTCAGGAAGTAGCACAGTGAAAATGTGCCAACAAAATAAAAGCTCACGAAATTATGAAATGATTAAAAAAGCTTTTTCAAATTCCTAGAATGTGCTACATTCTTGGAAAATAAAATGTTTCTGATTCTGATTCTGGTTCAGTGATTAAAATAACATTTTAAAACAGGGGTGTCAAACCCAATTACACAAGAGGGCCAACATTCAAAGTTTGGTCAAAGCCAAGGACCAAACTGTCAACATTTACTGAAAGAAAATGTCGGTTTTAAATATTATGTAACAAATTATACTTAAGAAATACTAATTTATTTTTCTCATTTATGTTTTATGCAGCATTTGGAACAAACATCACCTAACGGATAAAGAAAAAAAATTAAATTTAGTAAGACACATCATTAGTTTTCTACGGAAGCCGAGAGCAGCCGTTTTCCACTTATAATTATATTCCATGATTTTCTCTTTATCATGAGATAACAAGAACCGTTTTCCCGTGATAACCAGTTATGGTTTTCCTTGTTTATCATTCAGTAACCATGGAGACGGCCCGATCACCTCAATTGGTGACCGATAAACTTTATTGTATTTATTATATCATGAAGTTCAAGRTGACTGTGTAAACACCTGCTGAGCTGCAGTTGGGCCAGACGTCTGCTTTAATGACGAGGGCTGATATGAAAGTTATCTGTACAAGACAAACATCACAATTTGAGCCTGATGATACAAAAACAACACAAAATTATGAACAATTAATAGGTTACCTTCAGGCCCAGGACACTCTTGTAAAAGAGATCAGATAGATAGATAGATAGATAGATAGATAGATAGATAGATAGATAGATAGATAGATAGATAGATAGATA